ACATGATTAATCCAGACACCAACTAATTGAATTTCCCCCCTCTTAGCGCGCTCAATAGCAACCAGGCATGTGTGCATTAACCTTTCAGAAGGCTGCTTGGAGCAGTGCGACTGGGTAATGGAGTGTAAAAACAACACAGAGTACACAGAGACAACTGTCACCCCCCACCCAGTGCATAGGGAGGTTTGAGCACACGGCCAACTTTTCCATAAGCCAGTAGGAGAACGGTGAGTGCCCTGCAGTTGGCTAAGCATGATCGTGAACTGCTCCTGTGCTGCCCTACGCACAGCACTCATACCGGTCACAGGTATGTCGCCTCTCTTATGCCTAAAGCCGTGCGCGGGATATTTAATGTTTGTGTATATAACACGTGCCTGTTGTCAAAATCTATCTCTCCAAGTTGATGTTTGTAAAAAAAAAGCACTGAACTCACGTTATGTTTTTGAACATCTATCATATATTGCCTGCATTTATACCGTGCCTTATCGCTGAACGTGCTGTGAATTAACGTGTATCGAGTCGTATACAGCAAACTTAGACCTGAGATGGCAAAAACCCAAGATTGCAGATTTTATATTCATAATCACGGACATTTCAAGACCCAAATTAACGACATCAGCAACTTCAAACATATCAAAAAATTGAATAAATCTCACACCCATGCATTGTGCATATCATGTGTGCTCACGTGGATTGTCACCAAATGGGGAAAAGCTAAACACAAGCAATAAGAGCAATCTATTGTGACAGGGTTGAGAGAAACATTCTAGAAAACCGCGAAGAGCACCCGAACAACGATGAGCAGAGAATGGACATTTTCTGAAAAATACGAGAAGTCTGGATGTACACAAGTAGAGATTCAGTTTGTGGACATAAATAATATGTATACAATTGTTAATTATATGCTGACATGGTTTTATATGTTTGGTCTCAACAAGGGTCATAGTGAAGACACTTATAAATAACACATAGAAAAACTGAGTATTGTATAGCTGGCTACGGCTTGTGAATAAACGTGACTGGATGCATGTATATTTAATTTATTTCGCGCCATATGTAGCCAACCATGTTAATGGGAGGTGTGGATGATGTATAGATATCATAAACCAGTTTGTGATGTAATATAATTTCTCTGTATATTTCGTAATGGTATTAGAAACAAAATTACGTGCATAAATAAAATAAACTGCTTTGAAATCAATGATGTTTAAATAACGAGGGCGTCTTGAAATGTTTTCCATTACTTTTGGGGTCCCCTTTGAGTTTCTCTGATTTGGCCGATTTAATGCGAATAAATTTATAGCAAAGTGCATTACGACACAAATACAACTTACATGCATATACATGGACAATATACTTACCAACAATATCATCATCAACTGTGATCAATTCACTGCTGGTGGAAGGTTATCGCTTTGCGATTAAACATTTTCATCCAGCTTTGTTTATTAAAATATACACCTGGGATAACATGCTGTTTTCATCACGAACTCCAGTTCTCAAAAAGCACTCCAACCTGTTCTCAAACGCCTCTATTACGTAACTTTGATCTCGGTTCACCTGCAATAGCTGTCCGAAGTAAATGTATCCTGCTGTGTCTTCCAATTGTGTCCCTTCGACACATCTCCAAGTGTTTAGCGAACTTGATGTACATTAGTTAAATTTTGCTCATTCATCTTGTGCCAAACTTTGCAGCCATATCAAGTGTTTTATTCATTTGCTACAGTTCCTTACCAATGGTCATTGATGATAATGACCTGGTCATTGATGATAATGACCATGGCATCAGCAAATTTGATGAATGAATATCAATTACCATTTTGCCTATCGCATTATGTGCACTTGTGACAAGTATCATATTCGTCAAATAATAAGAATGCATGTTGATGAATGGCCCAGATCAATGAGAATACATTTATAATTAATTCATTGGCCATGATGAACACTAGAGTAAAACCACATTGATTGTATATAGCTGCACAAGGCAGGCTGGTGTGGCTACATGGGGTTTACTGTCGCATTAACCATAACTACAAGTTAATTTATTCTGACCGATAGACAATATGGTAATTCAGTAAACACTACAGACTACAGTACAGTAAATAGTTGTTGGTATATATAGCAAAATACAGTTTAACACGTAGGGCTTTCGCGACCAATATCATCCATAATACCAGTTTTTTGGGTTAGATCGCGTAAATATATAAATGTGTCGTTAAATGTTGTGGCTTTGCTCTCCAACACACCGGTGTGCTGTACTAGTAACGAAGCGGCATGCTCTGTTCATGACAGCCCTTACTAATTGGCTGTGTCGGGTGGTGGCGGGTTTAACGCCACATTTATACATTTACGCGATCTAACCCAAAAAAACCTGTATCATGGAAAATACACACACATTCACACACTGGAACATTAAATTTATATACACATATACATAGGGCTTTTGTTACTTAAGTTTTCATTAATTTAGCAGCTAGCCAGACTTGAGCTCACAGAATGAGGGCTTCTCAATTCGTCTGATGAGCCAAGATTTTCATATCTAGCTTAAATCCGATTGATTGTTGCTCTGAGGTCATGACACTTATTTAAGAAGCCTGGTCAGGTGACACCAGAAGCACGACTTCCTGGATTTTTATTCTGACGTCATGGATTTTGAACTGAAGCGGCTTAACAAAGTTTGAAACGAATTGACAAATCTTATTGCTAAATTTAGTTATGAAAATTGTTCTTGCACTTAACTGTGACCTGAAACAAGAAAAACTGGCGTGTTAAATGCTTGTGTGGTGGAGGGTTTAATGGCACAAATTTGATCAGGTTATTCCGTGGGCTAACCCAAAAAACAACGATTCATAATCATGGCTGAAAAATCCTTTGTGTTAAGAAAACCTACATGTTAATGTATCCAAGCCTTTGTAAACGATGAAAAGGCATTTACCCAGTGGAAATTCATGCAGTCATCCACGACTTCAAACCAAAGCCTAAATAAAAAGATTTGGAACGAACAAACCATTTAATAGAGTGGAACTACATTGAGAATCCATTAAGGTACCAACATACATATCAGAAGAGAAGTCGGACAAGGTGACAGAGTTAGGCAACGTTTCTCACAGTGATATTAGAAGATGTTTCTGTAAAGTGGATTGGGAAAACAATGGCATACGAATAAACAGAGGTATGTGTGTATGGCTTTAAATGTAGAAGCTTCCCACTAAAGCAGAAGCTAAAAACCGGATTACATGACTGACCGAGAGGCGAGACACGTTTATGCAGATTGTTCCCTTGCAGTGTTTTCAGTACAGTGCTACCCCGGAGATCGAACTTAATTCGTTCCAGAAGGCCATTCGAACACCGATTTGTTCGAACACAGAATTAATTTCCCCATAAGAATTAATGTAAATGATATTAATTGGTTCAAGACACAAGAAATCTCTCATTATAAAGCATTTTTACATGCATAAAATCATACAAAAAACAAGAAACACAATAAATAAATGGAATAATTAATAAATATATGGAACAAATGAAATAAATGAACATTGAACTTCACTTTACCTGTAGTAAGGAGCGTTGATGGCTTGAGTGGAAGGTGGTGAGGAGGTGGAGGTGGTGGTGGTGGTGTTATTGTTTGGAAGGGGAGTCAGTCCCCTTTGTCTGGGCAAGCGTCATGCATGCAGGCCATACACGTCTCAGCCGTACAAGTTATTTAAAGACGCGATTGCCCGTTCGACCTCCGAATTTCATTCGGTTTCCGGGGCAAAAAATGTTCGGAAATATTGTTCGAACACCGAATTGTTTGAGTTCTGGTGCGTTCGATCTCCGAGGTTCTACTGTATTTCTTGAATGAAGACTGGCCAACCAACACAACACCTATTAATGAACACTGTGCTCGAAGATACTTTGGATGCCAAGAGTGATGAATTAAAAAAATTCACAGACTAGATTGGCCATTGTGAAGTGATTTCGCTGTGTATCAAAACCCACAAACTGCAACCGCATTGGATATTAAAAACTGGATTGTAGTTTCCACAGGTGAACAGGACTGAAATTTTCGTTCACACCAATGTGCCTTATACCTACAATTCCAGTTTTGATATAATCTAACCACAGGATTTCTCAGGCTACTACCATAGTTACTGTTCCATGAACTTCACTCGATTCCTCCACACATATTGTAGATTCGGTCGACCAGACTGACTATTTCGTCTCATCCATACTGTGTTCAAACACCACACTGCATCACTCATCCACTTAACCACCCACATAATACCAACTAAAATCACGCAAATGTCCTTAACGCCCGTAACGTCACTCCACGTCGACCAGCCCCCCTCATTAATAATCAAGAACAGGTTACGTCCTCCAAATGGACACCCTCTCCATTAATCATAATTAGCGGGTGACGTCACTCCACATGGGGGGGGCGAGGCGCCTCCTCCCCCCTCCTCAGCGTCAACCTATAACCCTCACGACAAAGGCAGACCCCTCACGTCACGCGACTTCCGTAACGCTATTAAGACATAAGTAAAAAGGGCGTCATGATGAACAAGGGATTATAACCTTTAAATGAAATAAGTCTGTGTCACCGTGGCCTTACAAATTGCACACAAATGGATGCAATGAATATCATGTCGCGGTCTGCTTTTCGCTTGCAAGTTTCAGATTTACTGCAATACACCTGTCCTTGGATGGGCAAAAAGGCTGGTATATAATAACGAGGCAACACACCTCTTTCCCATATTGGCCTTTCCACATAATAAATACAAGTATTTTTTCTTCACATCCATTCGGCCATTTATTTATTGTTACATATATTCTTCACGATAGCGCTCATGATTATTTTACGTGTGTAGTGACATCAGTTAACATCTTTAACCTATGCATCCTGACATCGCTAAATCACTGAGTTCCAGCCCAATGCCTAATTAATGATCTTTTGTCAAGAATTCAGTTATTTTCTGCTCAAACGAGCATTGATGTGATGCTCATATACTCCTTACAGCACTGAGCCAGTGGTAGAAATGTTACATTCCTTTGGTGTAGGCGAGTCTATCGATAGGACAACCGCTGTTGACTTCCTCACAAAGGGGTACTAATTTTATCCACCCCAGATGAATGATAGGCTATCTATCCCAACCAGGCTTTTAACTCTCAACATTGCGATTGTGAGCCGCTCTTCTCTACCACCGAGCCATCGGGCCTGTAATGACTAACTATTTACATTGCTGGTCAATCCACTGCTGGACACTCACCTTACCAAACTGAGTCACGAGGGCATCATTTGAGCATACTTCACAATAATAGAGGTTTTTTTTTGGGTTAGATCACGTAAATGTATAAATGTGTCATTAATACCCGCCACCACCCTATACAGCCAACTATTAAGGGTTGTCACGTAAACAGAACATGCTAATTTACATTATCAAGCTGCAGATTTGTCCTTTATATTTAAACACATAAAACTACACGGGGTACTATGTGGAGTGACCCAATTTGTTCTTGCGGTTTCCTTATCACATTTCCTTCAGGCCTGACGTTGCACCATTTATTTGTGCCAATCAACACAATTCCCGCCATTTGATTTTAAATAAGAATGTCTAAAGAACGGCTAAAGACCGCCAGCGGTAAGAACAGTCGCTTGTTATTACATTAACAATAACCACCGAGTAACTTATTAAAGAGCATACACACGTACACATCATACGCAAAACGAGTGATTGATACATTCGTGCTGCTATCCATTCTACAACTATTGGACAGCTCAGCGACGACCAGCAAAGGTGGGTCTAAAAAAATGCATGCAACCCAATATTCATAAAAACGGGTTTTCATTGTAAGAATGACGGTGTGTATTTTTATAAACAATAACTTATTACTTGGCTCCAAAGGCAAAATGATGAAATAGCGCAGATAATTTCATCATTCATGCCTCGTCCTGCCTTTCCACTGCACTACGTGAAATGTTTAAGTCGCTACGGGGTAATATTTTTTTTTACAAATTATAAGTCTCAAAATGACACACGATAAATATTACTGTATTGTTGACATAATAAAGAATGTTCCAAAATGTCCTACTTGTCTTCAGTTGTTGAAAAACAGTAGTATTAGTCGACATTTATAACCAGATGAGAGTCCATTGAGACCAGGGGTATATTTATTTTTTGTTCAAGCTAACCATTGCTAAGTTGACTGTGGCAAGCAGCATGTTTTACATAGAATGTTAGTGTGATGTTGGCAGCCTGTAACTTTACAATTCTGGGCCATAGGCCTACCCCCACTGTGCTTAAAACCAATGGCTAAAAAAACACGTTGCTGCGTATGGCCAAGAAAGACTTGCGAGCAACTCAACGTACAGTGCACTGTCAACTTTGCCGGCCGCATGGCACTCCAAATCACAGAGGTGGAAACAAGAGTCAAGCTTAAGAATATTTCACAAATCTTGATTTAAAGCTTTCGTGACTGCAGAAATTCATATTCTTTGGGTCTTTCGGTAAAGTCACGTAGATAGGTTCAAAGAAATAAGTGTGACCAAATTGTTAAGAAAATGTAAACGGTACGAGTTTGTGAATTTAAAATTTAACAAACGTGAATATTAGAGACAGCCATTACATTTTCCAAAATCACTTAAGAGTATGTTACCTTTTCAATGAAATCGACTCTTCTAGCTGTGGTTGTTTTTTTATGACTTTAAGCAAATAATCCAGGAAGGTGACTTGTGATCGAAATATCTCTTAAGAGCCAAATTCTGAATGGGGCTTCACTGCAGGTCTTCAAGGCAGGCCTTTACGTTTAGCACATTATATCAGTTTTTCGTTCAGTATATTTATTAGGTATAGCCCTGTGAGCCATGCGGCTCTTGAATCGGGTGCAATTGCAACCACCAAAAATATGAACAAGAAACATCTTAAAGTGACTACGCGCAACAGAAAAATCCAGGAAAAAACAGCAAAGTCTTCCAGAAAAAGCACCGTATATCAACGCTGTGTGCAAAAATCTCAGGGGATGCAAGTCAAACAATAACAACCATAAGACAATTTAGATTAAAGTTATCAGTCTAACTCTGTACTACAACATACAAATATGGCTAAACCAAAACGTTTTCGAAATCACCAAAATAAATCTATAAAAACAATGTAACAGTGATCATAGAAACTGTGATTCAAATTTAACAATAAACGATATACATAACATGTATGACCAAACTTTGCAGCCATAGCTGGCAGCATGAGTCACTCTATAACAGCAGGAGTATCAACATTTCTCAATGCACCTTTAAAGATCAGCACACTATAATCAAAACTCAAGATCATACTTTGCAGCGGTCATCCGGAGCAATACATTTGATTTCAGGCCACTGAATAGCAATGGCAGCTAGGGGTGTACAACTCCTCTAGAGCAGTTTTGAGTGAAGATCTCACAGGTAGTGATCCAAGTTGCAGTTTATTGGCGCTAGCATTCCAGACCCTGGGGGCATCAATAGCAAAGGCCCTTCCTCCAGTATTTGTACGGCAATAAGGAATGTGAAGCTAGTAAATGAGCGAAGACCTTAGGTCACATTTGTTCTTCGAAACAGTGAGGAGATCCAGCAGGTAGTCTGCTGGTTTTTTGTAAGTACATCGCGAATAAATAAGATCTGATGCACAAGCCGTCGATCATTAAGAGATGGTAAGTTTGATCCAATGTAGAGATCACAGTGGTGGGTCCTATATGGGCAGTTCAATGCAAATCTTAAGGCCAAGTAATAAATTGAGTCAAGCTTCTTCAGTGCAGTACTGGGGGCTGATTTATATACGATGTCACAGTAATCAAGTAGAGGCAGCATGATAGATTTTTATCAATTCCTTAATGCCCAGAGCTAAAAAATTACTGCCAGAGTGAAAGGTATTCATGCATCACAGCCTTAAGCAACAATGTCACCATACCTTGCAAACCAATAAGCATGTATATATAAACATTACCTATAAACACATTTAGTAAGTAAACTACTTACATCCCCAGCCCAGTAAGAGAACTATTAAATGTAGATGGAATGCAGTTTAAAATATGAAATAAGAAATATTGACATAATAAATTATATGACGCTTGAATATTCTCAAATGTCAAACCTCTATACCAGTATGTACAATGCTTAATAGAGTTAAGACTGGATAATACATTTTACACCTGCTGCAATTTGCAAAAACCTTTAATTGCAACTTTAATTTGAGCATGTGAATTCCAATTATAGAGATCTATAACCTCAGCAGTGTAATTTGTATGCTCATTATCCTGTTCATGGCACAAGACTATCACGTGGCAAAATGAAAAGGCTTGACTTCATAAAGCATTGCATATAGAAGCAATCCTATACACTGTCATCTTGGAATGGCAAACCAAAAGCAGCCTTAAAACAAAAACTATAAGCTACTTATGATGACTTGTGCCTTGGTTTAATATACAAACTAAATCTGTAACATATGCTTACTGGGTTATTCAAGACGTACATTTTACACAGGCGCTTCAAGGGGTTTTTTGGGTTGGTTTGCGGCCATCTTCAGGAGTGTTTGTCTAAAGTCGTCAAACTTGACACCCACGCCTGCGGCCACTTTCAGAAGTGCAATATTTACAGAGGAATTGCTCAGAATGCAGCCCAACTAGGGAAACCGGACAAAGACTGACTGGGTAAGGAACGTAAACACAGTGAGATTAACTTGATACCACCATGGCAGGTGGTCTCAGAATGTGTGCCCTGTACAGAGACAGTGTGGGCTACGAGCAAGTGTGCCTGAGGCCGCTGCTGGCTCAACCCCGGCCACGCTTCATGACCAAGGATGGCCGCCCCACGCTGCGCATGCATTCCTCCTCCTCAATGGGCTGCTGGAGCTACGTGCGTGACATCTGGAGCACGCTGCTGTCACTGCGATGGCGTTTCATGCTGCTCGTCTTCTCCGCCGCCTTCCTTCTCAGCTGGTTTGTGTTTGCGCTGCTCTGGTACCTCATTGCGTACCTGCATGGGGACGTGGAGGCCTCCCCGGACCCTGAGCACGTCGTCTGCGTGCAGGCAATCACGAGCCTGCGCGCCGCTTTTTCTTTTGCCGTCGAGACTCAGCTCACCATCGGCTACGGCAAGATGTACCCCAACGGGGAGTGTCCGCAGGCCGTGGCTCTGCTTACTGTACAAATGATCCTGGGACTCATGCTGGAAGCGCTCATTACAGGTGGGAGGTCGCTACGTCACATTGCATTTCAAAATTGTAATGTGGGACAGCAGTAGGAGTGCGTTTGCCGCTTGTTGCAGAGATTCGCCGTTCGAATCCATCTCGTGGCTCTGGTTAGTACCACGGTGCTGCGTGTTAAACGTAAGATGCTACGCTCCCGTCTGCTTCAAGGTGGACTTTAAAAATCCCGTGAAGTAATTTGAAGAAGAGTAAAGCCATTGTGTGCCAGTGTCATGGTCCAAATAAAAAAAAATCACGGCAGAATACTTTTAGGACGACAACGCAACGTCGCCCCCTGAATGCAAAAAGGAAGCTGGACCCTCCTGAAAAGGAATCTTGAGACTCAGTGAGGCTCTCCTGGCTAAATATGTATAATTAGGGGTTGTTCGGCCAGGAAAGTCACAAAAAAATTGCACACGAACGACGCATTCATACAAGCACCCAATGCTCCGTTTTGAAGTTTTAAAATGAAACATCTTTGAATTGTATTATGTTTTGAATTAGATAATTTTATTTCTTCATGAAAAGCTAAAATAATTTTACATCTGGAGGACTGCATTGAAAACGACATTTCGTGTGAATTTTCTCTCGTCGTTAAGTAGATGGACTTGCTGGGGGTTCGGTTCGATGCGGACTTTCACCTGTTTGGGATTGCGGGATCGAGATAAGGCGACAGAGAAGACCGCCGTCTGCAGATCGATTCCAACGTAATCGAACGTGTCCCTGTGCCTCCGTCGTTCATGCAGGGGGCGCGTAGGTTTGCAGCGCCCCCTGCATGAAAACGACGGAAAGTGCAGCGTTCATCACAGATAAAGTTGTGCACTTATATATAAATAATCATAAATAAAATTCACTGCAGAGAAGCCAACTGAGCATACCTCAATCAAACTCAAGTAACCTAAGCAACTCTGCTAAATGTGTTTTTTGCAAATTTTTTTGCATGTTAAAAAAATCATCATTCCTGATAAAACAGGAATTTGCGACCGCAACTACTTACATTCACATTATTCAAAGCAAGACGTAAAGGGTTAACTTCTATTTAGCGCACATTAACCCAATGAATAACAATTTTAATGTGAAAATAGCCCATAGTGACTAAAATCTGTTGAAATTATGAACAATCAAAAAAATTTATTTCGTAAAAAAATAGTAAATCCAAACGTAGTAATGCATGCTCAGGTTAAATGTTTGATAGTGGTGTATCCCGATGTATGTTAATTCACTTTACGAAGATTCGTTATTGCGTTCGTCATTAATTCACGGTTTCGGTTTATGCCTTGATTTGTGGGTATCACATTTTTTTATTGGACTTTTTTTTGCTGGAAAATAATCAAAATCCCTAAAGTAAATACATGCTGTGTCGTTTGTCCATTTAATTTTTATACTGTTCCAGGCTCTTTGTCTGGCCGCCGCATTATGTAACGCCACCCCTTGTTTCCAAGCCAAGCGCCGCGTAGTTCAAAGTAGCTTATGATCAAACCATGCTCTGTACTGTAAGTACTGTATTTACTGTAGATACTGCCACACCCTCACCCTTCCAGTCACCCCTCCTCCCTTCGCCCATCAACACCTCACCACAACAGCATCACCTCACAGAATGTGCACAACAGTTTATGGTTAGTAAATTACAGTGTACAGTAATTGTTTTGCATTACCTGTCTAGTCATTATTATCCAGATGTATGCATGAATATCTCAGTTGTGTTGTAAAGTGTTATTTCAGGAGGTTTTCGGTCAGAAATCTTTTCTTAGGAATTTATCTTAGGTTATATAATGGGACCTAATGGGAAATACTTTTTGACATAAATTACGATTTTTCACTTTACGTTCAGGTTTTCAAGACATAACCCAAACGTATATCAAGGTACACCCACCGTACCCTTTGTGTTTTACATAATCGTATGACAGTGTATGCGGTTAATGGTGGAAACACTGATTGGCAGACCTCATTTTAACAACCTGAATTTCCTATTCACTTGATCTTCATGAACAATATGTTAGGAGCGTTAACTATATTGAAGTACGATAGATTTAGCTACCATATAAAAATGCAGTTACTAGGTCAACTAATTCGTTTTCTTATTTGAAGGTCAAGCAACTTTCTTTCCTTGGCTTTTTAAGCATGTGTTTTTTTTATCAATTACGAAAAGGCTTTTGATTCAGTGGAAACTGATGCACCATCCAAGCTCTCACACAATGAGGTGGTGCTCATATCGCGGTTACAGCCCTCAGCCAAAAAATTCCCCATTTTATGACGTGGGTGAGTCTATCCATAGGACAACCACAGTTAGCTTCCCCAACAAAGTGGTTATCCATTTTTCTTCATCCAAGACATGATGGGCTGAGCCAATGGCCGGATCCAGAATTTGAACTCTCGACCTTCCGATTGCGAGCCGATCGCTCGACCACTGATGCCACCTGGCCAAGTCTACACAGTGCCGACTGAACACGTACACATTTTTTTCTTACAGGAGCTTTCGTGGCCAAGCTAGCCAGGCCCAAGCTGCGTTCGGAAACACTACGCTTCAGCCACTTCGCGGTGGTGAACCGGCAGGGAGAGCAAAGCTGCCTCCTGTTCCGCGTGGCGAACCTGCTGCCATCGCCGCTTCTGCACATTCGCCTGCAGGCGGTGCTTTACCAGACGCACGGCACAGAGCTGCTGCACCAGACGGCTGTTCCCTTCACTCTCGACCACATGGACGGCGAGGAACACTGCCCTTTCTTCCTGTCCCCGCTCACATACTGCCACGCCATAACCGAGACCAGCCCCTTCTACAGGCAACAGCAGGTGAGCAGTGCGACGTCACTCACAAACCTCGGTGGAGAGTGCTAACGTGAATTAACTGCGTATGGAACGAGCAAAACTCTGATAATGAGACCCAGTAGGTCGAAAACAATCCAGAGTTTGCTTAAGAAAATGACACTTGGTAACATTGGTCTGGAAATCTTATTCTTTAGATATTTGTGGAGACACAGAATGGAGTTTTACTTTTATTTAGTTTTCCCGATGATGCTCCAGCCAGCTGGCACAGTAGTCGAATTAGCACTTCGCAATCAGAAAGTGGCGAATTAAAATCCTGGTTGGGGGTTGACTCAGCCCATCATCCCGCTGTGGTCAATACAAGGAATACGAAATCTTGACTGAAAGCTTTCGTGACTGCAGGAATTCATATTATTTGGGTCTTTTGGTAAAGTCACGTAGATAGGTAAAAAAAAAACTACGACGTTTCTAATGCAACACAAGGGGTCGTCATCAGGAAAAGGGGGTTAGTGTCTAAAGGCAAACTGTTTATAGAGGTGATGGTACTCGTAAAGGGCCAGGATGGCACTGGTGGTGGGCTTCCACCAATAAAGGGTGACTGCTAGTGGTGATGGTAGTCGTGGGCAGTGATGGTCCCGGTGATGGGCTTCCACCAATTAAGGGCTGCCAGGTCTAAAATGGAAACATTACAGCCAGAATTGATTTAAAATAGTTTATAAAGTCCTTCCAGTGACTGCTGAGTTTGTACCCATCTTCTCGGTTGAAATCGTGTCTATGTCTATGTCTGTATATATGGATGGCTTCATGAGCGAATCTTTGTTGACAGCCAGTGGGTTTGCAAAGTACCTTTGTCTTAGAGAAATCTATTTCGTGTGAGCCCACCGCATTAAAACAATATTTAGCCACGGCCGAGGTATTTGTCCCACTGCGTTTCAGATCTGCCTTATGTTCACGAACACAGTCCGAGACATGTCGCGTAGTTTCCCCAATGTAACTACTGCCTCAGATACACAGCTTGGTTTGTAAACGCCGGGGTATTGCAGGTCAGGGATCACATCTTTCACAGATGGGATCAGATCACTAATTTACGTACTTTTATGTATTAAATTGAATCTTGTGTTTGCTCATGATTTTGGAAATCTTTTTGGTGACCCCTGCTATGTATGGCAGGCAAGGTGATGGTTTTGATTGAGTCCTCAGATGGTTCTATCCCAATGGTTAGGGTGATAGCTTTACGGATTGTGTAGTCTGAATATCCATTTGTCTTGAGAGCTTGGTGTACGTATTCCAGTTCACTGGCTAGGTGATGATGGTCGGAAATACATCAAGCTCTATGGTGTAGAGTTTTGATGAGGGAATTCTTCTGGGATGGATGGTGGTGGGAGTCAGGTTTTAGGTAGGCATCCGTATGGGTTGTTTTCCTGTAGACAGAGTGGCCCATTGAGCAATCTGGTCTCTTTTCGATTAAAACATCCAAGAATGGTAGCTTGCCATCCTTTTCCATCTCCATGGTGAATGTGATGGTTGGGTATATGGAATTCATGTGGTTGAGGAATTGGTTCAGAGCTGGTCGGTCATGTGGCCAGATGGCGAATGTGGCCTCTACGTATCTCTTCCACAAGGACAGACGTAGAGTGGATGCCTGGATGGCGTCCGTCTTAATTTTTTCCCATGAAAACATTGGCTAAAACCGGAGATAAGGGAGAACCCATTGAGGTACCTTCTACTTATTTGTAGCATGTTCCATTCCAGGTGAAGTGGTTGTGAGGCAGTGTCTCACCAGGGCTGGTACATCAGCATTCAGTCATTGTTGGATCAAATCTTCAATGATTGCAATGGTGTCAGGCATAGGAACTTTGGTAAACAAAGAGACTACATCGAAACTAACGAGCAAATCACCTGGAGATAGTGAGATGTCCTTAATTAACGATACCAAGTGAGCTGAGTTAAGTACAGCTAAGGCGGTCTTACCAGTGAATGGTTGTAAGGTCTCAAGACAGAAATCGGGCCAGTTTGTGGAAGCCCACCACCGGGACCATTACTGCCCACTACTACCATCACCACTAGCAGTAGCCCTTTATTCGTGGAAGCCCACCACCAGTGCCGTCGTGACCCTTTACGAGTACCATCACATACTCTTTGGTTTTATTTGGTGAAGTCACGTAGGTAAAAACTAAAATAACAAAAAATCACGACGTTTCGGCCACAACACGTGGCTTTCATCAGGTGAAGGGACCGGACTGTCCAGAGGACAGCGCTGGAGTGAACACAGCCAAGCCCAGACCGCGTCCTTTAAGCTGTGTGGGAGGAAACGGAGCGCCTTGACAAAGGAGTTAGCATAAAAAATAGCATTTAATTGGCGGATTCAGCATGATGAACGACGACGTAGAGGGGGGGAACATGTTCATCAACATGTTCATCATCAGTACCATCACCTCTAGCAGCAACCTCCACCGTCAACAGTGTGTGCAAAGTGAGGTGCAATGATTACTTGGCAGCCCTTTAATTGGTGGAAACCCACCACCAGCGCCGTCGTTGCACTCTACAAGTACCATCACTGACACTTGGGCTACACCCATTTCAAACCTTTATAAACAGTTTGCCTTTAGAGGCTAACCCCCTTTTCCTGATGACGACCGCTTGTGTGTTGATCGAAACGTCGTTGTTTTTTGTTATTTTCTTTGAACCTATCTACTTGACTTTACCAAAAGATCCAAAGAATACAAGGAGTACCACTTGTGGGGACGTCAGCAGTGGCTGTCTTATGGACTCAACCAGACAATAACCATATCCTCTGCTGGTTTCGGGCTGTAAACGGAATCAAAAGTTTATAACAGCACCATATGAATGCCCATTTGAGCAGGAAACCAAATTGAGGAACACCGTGGTTACGAGTGTATGGTCTGCAAACCCCTGGTGATCCACGTGGCTGTGCGAAGTGGTTCCGTGGAACTGTTGTAAATGTTTTAGTACAAAACATCAGATTATTTACAGCATGATGGTCTGCAACATTTGTTTGAGGTTTGTGCCGTGGGGCAGTAGGTCCAGAAAATGTAAGAACCACTATATTCAACCAAACTTTAGTTCCGTTTAAATATTAAGTACAACATGTTAACGTGAAACATGTTGGGAATTCACGCACAACATACACATTATGTTTCTAACTTATGGTCTCGTATTACTGTAAGGTTCTTGGGAGTGTGCAGCCAGGCCTAGAGCTGGTGGTGTTCCTCACCGCCAGAGATGAAAATACGGGGGAGGTATGTCAGAAGCGGACATCCTACATCAGCGAGGAGATCCTGTGCAACCACTGCTACCCTCCTGCAGTGATCAGCAAAGAGGGACAATACACCTACAATGTAAGGGACTTTGACAGGCCCCTTCCAGACCCAGGTGTAAACATCGAGAGATCCGCGATGAACGGGGCTCTTGCAGACCAGAGAGACAATGAATCCAACGAAGGAAACCATTCCACTGTCGCTCTGATTATCGATGAGTCCAGCCCCTAATTATTTTCATCTCTTGAAGAAATATTGACAAAAAGAACTTTCCAAAAACACATCCACAACTAAAAGGTATTTAAAATGACAACTCACTTAAATATGTATGTGAATTAGTTGTCAACCTACCAACATATACGTGTTGTGAATAAGCTACAGATGAATTAGTTTATCTGTATGGGTAGGAGAGACGATTAATAATGCAACTCAAACTTTGGCCTCTTCTAAAAAAATATCTATAGACACTGAAGTACTGAGTTGCTTTTAGAAAGGCAGGTGGCGCACATTTTAAATAAATGTATCACTATATTCTTGGTTCTCTCGGCAAAGTCACGTAGAAGGGAAATAATAAAATAACAGTGAAATCTTGTTTTATTTGTATTATTTTATTATTTCCCTTCTACGTGACTTTACCAAAAGAACCAAGAAGATGAATCCCTGCAGTCACGAAAGCTTTAAATCGAAATGCATCACTATGAAACGTAAACCCAATCCGTACTCTCCTTGTAAATGCATATAGAAGCGTACAACTTTCTTGCATGAGGCAGTGTGTAGCATACATGTAGAAACTTTACTTTGTATGAATGGATATGCATTTTACATTAAAACCACTTGTGTGGAGAGCTGTGTACATAGTCTACTCTTGAGAATTCTACCGACCATTATTGTTTATCACAATGAACGTGAAATGAAATCCTGCCACCATGAATTAAATCCATCGCGTGGCAGCATGGCGGAGTGGTAACACTTGTGCTTCAAACAAGAAGTTTCTGGGTTCAAATCCCAACTCGGGCATCTCTGTGTGGAGTTTGTATGTTCTCACCTGTTCTACATGGGTCTCCTCTAGGCTCTCTGGTTTCCTTCCATAATAATAAAAAAACTATGTAACTGATGCATCTTATTCTTGGATCTTTCGGTAAAGTCACGTAGAAGGGAAACAATAAAAAATATATAAAACAATAAAATTATCACGACGTTTCGACTGCAACACAAGCAATCATCATCAGGTGTGGTTTTCACACACCTGATGTGGTTTTCACACCTGATGATGATTGCTTGTGTTGCAGTCGAAACGTCGTGAGAATTGTATTGTTTGATATCTGTATTATTTTTTTATTATTTTATTGTTTCCCTTCTACGTGACTTTACCGAAAGAATCATGAATATGAATTACTGCAGTCACGAAAGCTTTAAATAAAAATTTGATGCATCTTAATTCAGAAAAATGACCTACAAATTGCACAATTGGGCTTACACATAGCAACGTCACCCCCTACTCAAACTGTTGGTAGGGAGGCTTTACTTGGTAAACAAGTATAATAATTTTAAGTGTCCACAAAAACTTTCTGCGACGTTTCAGGCAGTGTTGGGCAGGGTGAGCACCATTCGGCCCCTTCAGTCTTAATTGCCGGACCGATTGTACTGGAAGATCATTTATAGCAAATATTCCATGAGACAACGCTGTAGTTTTTCCATTGGGATTCGAAGATTAATTACATGTAACGACATCTCAAAATACATGCACATTTAGTAGCGTAATGCTTCAAGTGTGTGGAAGATTTAATCGTAACCAGTGAGTTGCTGTTGTTTGAAAATTGGAAAAAGATTATTAACTGCAGACATGCTGGAACCCACAGGGGCAATGCAAACTCGTTTTCTTGAACTTCTTTCGCACCCTACGTAGCCAACTGTGCTAATCGGAGGTTTGAACTCAATATAGACCGTTATATTATAGGTTTTATCAACCACACCGTGGATCACCCTTGATGAACAGTATCACAGCAATTATTTGAAATAGCCTCATAAAATAGGACACCCAAGGGTTCAGGAAAATTATTATGTCGAAGCACACATTGCACGTCGAAGCACCGGTTTTTGATCAAAATACCTTCAAGTTTTTGACCACCAAGCTTATTGATTATATCACTGTGACTTTCCTACTCCGAAGGATGTTGTCACAAAGGAGTATTTGTAGAGTGTTTATCTAACCTATAAAAGGCATTTTTTGTCTGTGTGTGGAAGAAACTTGCGAAGGATTTGACTCGCGAACCGTGGGGTTTACGTTTAAAAAAAGTTCCCAGGTACCACGCGATAAGCCCCGTGGTGAGCCAGCACTATTCCAATTTTGCATCCATCAACTTTAAAGTAGTTTAATATTAATTATTATATTACTCCGCTGAGCGCGTGCCAAAGCACGCATCTGCGCATGCGCGACAAAGCCGAGCCATGGTTGCCCCTAGCAACGCACACACGCGATCGGTGTGGGGAGGGGGGAATTCTCATTCGCATTAAAGATGCAAAAAAAAATGCTGAGGTAAATTCTTCACCGTGTGATGTCCTCTTCTCCCCCCACCCCAATGTGTGCACTTACTGCAAAATAGTCGGTAGATGCTACTATATATCATTCGTCCAAAAAATGTATTACCGAAGCTATTAACATAAGGTGTGTACAGGATTAACTGCACGTGTGGTAAATGTTATGTTGGGCAAACAGGACGAATTATCAGCACGAGACTAAAAGAACATCAGATAAATATTACATTCTCCCAAATGCAACTCTCAGCAGTAGCAGAACACGCGTGCCAACAAGGACACTCAATTGATTTTGATGTTGAAGTTTTGTGCAAAACTAGCTACGACTGGCCAAGACTAATTAGATCATCTATCGAAATTGAAAGAAATCAAAATAACTTCAACCGTTCGGATATAGCGCTGCGTGGAAGCGAATAATCAAATAATACATTATTTAAATGCATGACTACAAAGGGCAGCGTACTTCAATAGGGATTACCGTTGGCAGGGCCATTTTAATAAACACAATAGACAGGAAGGACAAGTTCAAAGGGCTCGCATAATGCACATGCATAATATACGTTGCCTCAGTAATACCCCCCCGCCACCCCCCCCCCCCCCCCCACATTGTGCAAGAGTGCAGTAAAACTTATCCACAAATCTGGCCGTCGCCTGATGAAGCTAGTCTTATATATGAACTAGCGGTAAGTACCCAGCGTTGCCCAGGTCAAAGAAATATTTTAGAACTACTCTTAAAAACCTTACATATACATACACAGATACTAAGGTATTGTGAAAGCCTGGTGGGCCATTTGTCCATTTCACCACCAACAAAATTATAAGAGGCTTGTACAAGTCCAAAAAGTTAGAGAAAGTGTGGGGTAAATAGTTGATATAAAAGGTTTCTGAAAATTGTGGACACCCCCCCCCCCCAACCTCAAAAAATATATTTACCCCCGCGTAGGTATCTATACCTACACACCCTACATACAACAGAGTAAGTAGTATCTCTCGACTCTGTAGTTGTATCTACTGACTGTACAGTATCTACTGAGCCAGTAGTAGCTACTGGCTGTGTAGTATTTACTGATTGTAGCAGTAACTACTGACCGTAGTCGTATCTACTGGCCCTACAGTAGTATCTACCGACTTTATAGTAGTAACAACTAACTCTATAGTAGTATCTGCTGACTCTATAGTAGTATCCACCGACTATAGTAGTAACTACTAACTCTATAACAGTATCTACTGACTGTATAGCAGTATCTACTGACTCTATAGCAGTAGCTACGGACCGTAGTAGTATCTACTGACTATGTAGTCGTAGTTGCTTACTGTAGCAGTATTTACTGACCGCAGTGGTATATACTGACTGTTTTAGTATCTACTAACTCTATATAGCATGATCTACCAACTGAATAGCAGTATCTACTATGACTACAGCAGTGCATACTGACTGGTGGTGGGACCTATGATTACAGCAGTGCATATTGTGGTAGTACCTGCTATGATTACAGCAGTGCATACCGACCGTGGTGGTACCTATGATTACAGCAGGGCATACTGACTGTGGTGGTACCTGCTTTGAGAACAGCAGTGCATATCTACTTTTGGTGGGACATGCTTTCCCTAGACCAGTGCATACCTACTTTTGGTGGAACATTCTTTCCCTAGACCAGTGCATACTGACTGTGGTGGTACCTGCTATGACTACACCAGTGCATTCCTACTTTTGGTGGGACATGCTTTCCCTAGACCATTGCATACTCTCTGTGGTGATACCTGCTATCACTACAGCAGTGCATACTAATTGTGGTGGTACCTGCTATGAGTACAGCAGTGCATACTGACTGTGGTGGTACCTGCTTTCACTACAGCAGTGGAAACTGCTGTGGTGGTACGTGCTATCATTACAGCAGTGCATACTGACTGGTGATACCTGCTATGATTACAGCAGTGGATACTGTGGTGGAACCTGCTTTCACTACAACAGTGTATACTGTGGTGGTACATGCTTTCATTACAGCAGTGCATACATACTGGTGATACCTGCTATGATTACAGAAATGGATACTGACTGTGGTGGTATCCTATGACTACAGCAGTGCAAACTGACTGTGGTGGAACCTGCTATGACAGCAGTGCATACTGACTGTGGTGGTACCTGCTATGATTACAGCAGTACATATTGTGGTGGTGCCTGCTTTCACTACAGCATTGCATACTGCTGTGGTGAAACCTGCTATTACAGCAGTGCATACTGACTGTGGTGGTACCTGCTATGATTACAGCAGTACATATTGTGGTGGTACCTGCTTTCACTACAGCAATGTATACGGCTGTGGTGGTACCTGCTTTGATAACAGCAGTGCATATTGTGGTGGTACCTGTTATCACGACAGCATTGCATGCTGACTGTGGTGGTACCTGCTATGACTACAGCATTGCATGCTGACTGTGGTGGTATCCTCCTATGACTACAGCAGTGCATGCTGACTGTGGTGGTGTCCTGCTATGACTACAGCAGTGCATGCTGACTGTGGTGGTATCCTGCTATGACTACCGCATTGCATGCTGACTGTGGTGGTATCCTGCTATGACTACAGCAGTGCATACCGACTATGGTGGTTCCTGCTATGATTTCAGCTTTCACTACAGTAGTACATGCTGACTCTACCTTATATATGAAAGGAAAATTTGTGAATGTGTCTGTTCGAAATGTTTATCATACTTGCCGACATGCAACCAACTTATATTATCATACACTCACTCATCATACGCTGACTCAGTCATCATACGCCGACTCACTCGCACATCATACACTGGGAGTGTCATGCTGCCAGCTATTGCTGCTAGTTTGGTCGTACATGTTATTTATATCGTTTACTGTTAAATGAGAATCACAGTTCCTATGATTACTGTAGTTACATTGTTTTTGAAGCTGTATTTTGGTGATCTCGAAAACATATGGTTCATCTATCTAATGGTTGGTATTGTTTGACTTGCATCACACTGGGATTTGAGCACACAGCGTTGTAATACGGTGTTTAAAGATTTTCTGGTTTATCTAGAGGATGTTTCTATAGCGCG